CAGAACATGGCCGCTGTGCCGACACTGTAGCAGATGACGCGGGGGAGGCTTGGCCCCTGGCTCTCCCTGATCCTGCGCACTAATTGGCCCTAACTCGCAAGGCGCTCACCTGCGGCGCTTCGCGGAGCGCCGGCCACGCAGAGTGGACGACCCTGTACACCACTCATGTTTGTATACCTCCCCAAAGAGAAACTCGCATGACAAAGACATGGCCAATGTGTCCAAAAAAGCAATCGCATTTTATTACCTTCACAACATACATGACGGATTCACATATCTTTAGTGCCTTTCAAAGATCACATGGTACTATTGACACTTTGTCAATCAACGAATGAATCAATACTTAAACATTTCTAACATCGCCAACAATCTCTGCTATTCCATGAAGCAGAGCTGTAAAAATGCTAACGCTACAACAGTAATCACAACAAGAAAACTCGTAATATGCAGCAAAGCTAACCAAGGGTCCAGTAATGACCCAGGGCTCACCTCAACCATCAGAATCTCCCTTTTCCCAGACACTGGCAACGCCACACAAAGGCAGGCATGGGTGGGTACTAACCCACGGATTCCTCTTTGTCTGGCCCCTATCCTCTGGCCTGTCCGGCATGGGTGACCCTGGCCGGCATAGCCCAAGGGGGTCATTGGGGCACACAAACCCCTCCACCACACTAAGGTGGGAATCCGCTTGAGGAGGGGAGGGGGGGGGGGGTGCAGGCAAGTGAAAAAATATCTGCAATGGGGCTATAACTTTTCGTACATTGTTTTTACTGACTTCTGTCTTCGTTTATTTTATTGTTATGCTGTTGTGGTCCTGCTATGAAAGTTTGATAATAATTCTTCATTGGTTTTCCTTTTGTTGCGAATAGATCACGGCCCTTCCCTTGGAAGTTTGCACCAAAGAGGAAAAACGAGCAGGGTTCCGGTTTATGTGGTCGAAAGGTGTGGGCGCTCAATTCATAGACACTCCGTTGAGCGAGACACTGGTTCCCTGCTCGCTTTTCCTCTTTGGTGCAAACTTCCAAGGGAGGGGCCATGATCTATTTGCAGCAAAGAGAAAACAAATGAATTATGGTCAAACTTTCATAGCAGAACCACAACGGCATAACAATAAAATAACCGAAGACAGAAGTCAGTAAAAACAATGTACGAAACGTTATAGCCACATTGCAGATACGTTTTGACTTACCCTCAAATGTTTGAGCCCCCAGAGTGGCTTTCAGTGACTGTGCCGAAAGCCGGAATACGAAGTGTCGGGAAACCGGCCGCTGATGGCCTTCACCACACAGGATGGCAGTGGGCGCCTGTTGTGCTGGCCAAGGCGCCGCCACAGCCACAGGACGCACTGCCGGTAGGCGGCGTAGCGGTTGCGCCTGAAAGAATAACCACAATAATTTTCTGTAAGACGCAATATCACAACCTTTTAAAATTGCAGATTCTGGGCTCTACCAGCAGAAACAAAAAAAAAGTGCTGCAACGGGCCCGCATGCCTGGGCAGCAACCGATCTAAAATAACCTGAGGAGCAGAGCAAGTTCTAGATTGTGTCCATTATTCTTCCCACAAATTCAATTGCCAGGTGTGAACATTATATTAGGTTGATAATTGAATCGCAGTAGTGTATACTCCATGTACAAGAAAGTAGCAGCGGTTATGGGGCACAAGTGCAACCATTTTGCGTTGTAGTTCTGCATCGTGTAGTAATGGGCAATAAATCATCACAAAGAACTGTTAGAAAAAGTCAATTCCAACAGACCAGATGACCAAAGCCTAAGATGCACAACAAAATGCATGTCACAAACCCTAAAATATGCGGCAGCACTGTTCATGCTGACTCGATCGAACTACTGCATCTCTTTGTGGCAAAGAGATGCAGTAGTTCACGCCAAAGAGATGGGGCATTGCTTTTATCATAATTGCTTGCACGCTATCAATAACGTTTGGATAATTCAGAGAGGGACTTCAATGAAGCTGAGGGAAATTAGCTTTTTTGTTGTTGTTTATCTAGTGTTCAAAGTCTCGACACACCATTTCGTCTGGAAGCTGCACCTGCCGGAGTGGAATCAAGGGGCAATGATCAAGGGGCACATTCCGCCGTGATCAGCTTTTTTAACGACACAATTGCAAGCCCGTCGCTGCTACCGAGGAGAAAATGGCCATATCAAAACTTCAAAGGCATCCCACGGGGGTCTCGAGTGGCGCAGCAGTCAGAGGCGAAACTTGAGCGCACTACTCCAATGGGTGTGAACGCTGCGTTCAGTAGTGTACCGTGAACGTAGCGTTTATGCATGTTGTGCCAACGTTTGTTGCAAAAGTTACGCCCGTTAGGTCCATAGTGTGAACGTAATATTAGTGATAGGACGAATCACCGGAGATTTGGATTCGGACAGATTCGGAGATTCATCAGATTCGTCGCTGGTTGCAGACGGCAGTGTGAAAATAGTCGTAAACTTCGCGACTGTGGACAGCTGTGCTTTTCTTAGGTACTGTTACTGCATATAACCAGATTTCGTCTTGCTTATTTCAACATATGGTATGTACTAAACTGTCGTTCTAAACCCTGGCAGGCGCCAAGGTCCAGCTGAGCTGATCGGTGTGGTTGACGTGGGCCTAACCAATGCACGGTTTCGCTTCCTGTGCGGTTTTGCGGTGATCGGTAAAATGTAGCAAAATGCTGTGTATTATACATAATGTGACGCAACGTACAAGAAATATATATTCAGGCAAGGAAATTATTTGTCTCTTTCTCTAGAGCTGCGTATGTCTGCACCTATAAGGCGCGAAAACTAGATGAATGTTGCTCGTCACAAGTTCGACCGCGTACCGGCACCGGTGGCGAAGAAAAACGTTGCACTGTTGTTTCTCCGTTCTCGTCAGCAAGTTTTTTTATACGTGAACTTTATTTGGCGAAAAAGAAACACAACACAGGGGTGTCCAACACAACTTCATTGTTCGCAACCAAACACTAACTAAATCGGAGAGCATTAACCAGGAGTTTCACATTGTTTCCCGTGTTTCGATAGCAATAGGTGGTATTCACTGAGCCTGCAGGTTCAATTTTGCCAGGGAACGCCACCGTCGATTCGCCATCTTCGAGGTCGCGGTTTGACTGGCTTGGCTACGCGGTCGTACAATTTTATATCGTTGAAGAAGCTTCGTTGAACAAGAAAGAAAGAGGTTTATCTCGGGGGCGGGCCGTTTTAGTTTTCTTGTTGCCGCCGAGTACCGCGTGTGTAAAGGCTGAACCGCATGTAAGCGAGCGATGAGACGAGACGAGCGACAGCCACGACTGAAGCGACGACGACCCGCTTCGCTGTCGCTCGGTCACTTGCGCGACGAGAGGGACGGGAGCAAGCGACCAAGGCGCTCAGCGATGTTTTCTAGAAATCCCAAAACCGAGCGACAACCGACCGTGAGAAAAAATCCGTCACTCGTCGCCGCTCGCTAAATCGCTTACATGCGGTTCACGCTTCACTGTCGCTCGTCGCGTAGCTCTGTTTTGGGATTTTTAGAAAACTTCGTGCTCATCGCCTTGGTCGTTTGCTCCCGTCGCTTTCATGCGGTTTGCCTCGTGGCAGCGAAGCGGATCGCCGTCGCTTGTCTCGCGGCTCGCCAAATCGCTTACATGCGGTTTTTAAATCGCTAGGGCTAATGAAAAATGTGCCGCATCTTTCATAAGCTGCGCACTCTGTGAGCCGCACGGTATGTCTTTGCACAGGAACGAACACCGAAGGCAGGACGTAAGTACGACACAGAGACGATGGAGCAACGCGGTTACACGGCCGTAGTGCAGCAAATCCGCTGGAGAAAAACAATAAACAAACTAGCAAAACAAAACAGAGTAATCACACCGTGCTACAAAATCACCAAAGTAGAAAAATCAGTTCTTGCAAGAGCTACCGCCGTGGGCACGGCGCGCGACACGGAGCGCTTCATGGAGCCGAGGGGGCAACGCGGCCGCGGTGAACGAGTCCGATAGCGACAAAAACGAACTAAAACACACAAACAATACTCCTACGGCGCTTCAAAAGCACCAAAGTATAAGAATAACCCCTAGTTTCGGTTAAAAAGGCTCTTTAAAATTGTAAAATGCTGCTAAACCACGCTCAAAAGATCCGGCCATACGACACCCGCGATAGAAAGAGACCTCGAAGATGGCGACCGTGGTGGGCGATGCCAGCGAACCTAGCGAGTGACGTCAAGTGAATGTCACCTATACCTCAGTGGAAACTCATTGGAGATAATCGAATCGAACATACTCACTTGTGTGGTTGTGTGCCACTATGACAGTAATTATGGGCACGAAATGTGTCTGTACCGAAGAGCACGTACGGCATCAATCTCTTACAGCGATTAAAAAATACGCTTGCATTTCTATGTGTGTGCACCAAGCATGCCTATTGGGTCGTAATTTGGAACTGAAACCAATTTTCCCGGGGTATCTGGCTACCGTTCTCGACAAACATCCGAAATAATTTAAACAAAGCGGAACATTTTATTTATTACTGTGATATTGTATTACAATATATTTGGTGCACTTTGTAGAATTCAGTGAGTATAATATCACGAAAAGTTGAAACGCTCATCAACGTGATTTGGCAACCATGGCAACGCTCCGAATGTTTCCAAACTTTTCCGAATCGCTTGGGATTCGGCTACTTTTCCGAATCTTTCCGAACCTTCAGATTCGAATAAAGATTCGTCCGATCACTAGTGATAAGCTAAACTGGAGCTAACCAGATCTCAAGAACTTGTTCTGAAGCAAGAGATACTGATGCAGCAATCGAGGTTTTGAACATTTTACTTTATGATGACCCACAACTTCACAATGAAACACAGCACGAAACGCAAGTAAAACATGCGATGCAACCACCAATGTGACTTCACATTTGAAAAGTAACGTGCGTAACGCTCACTGAAACAGATAGTAAAGTAGCTGTCTAACGTTTTACTGCTGGCGCCGGTTTGCAAGTTAGCCGAAAAGCAAATTACGGCGTTGAACTCACTCGTGCGCTGTTGTGCCCATTCCGTCCTGGCGGTAGTGGCGCATCATGAAGTAGGCGACCTCGAGCACCCCCGAATTCAAGCACACCGTCTCGAAATCCGGGTTGCTTGTTAGGCAGCCAGGTTGCCTCGACGCGGCGGCGGGGTACTCGTGGCAGCAGACGCACACCTCAGCTGTCGGCATCTGCGCGCAACATCCGCACTGGCACCTTTGGGAAAGAAGATAAGAAGAGAACAAGCGTAAATGACACATACAGCGGTAAAATAAACAGCGTATCACCCACCAGTCGGTGTTGCCGATCCGCCCCGTCTCGTCAAAGGCGCCGTCTTCGTCCTCGGACATGGCCGCCTGCTCGTCCTCAGAGCCCGAACACGACTCCGATGCGCGGCTGTCGTATACATCACACGTCGGAGTAGCGTCGTAGGAAATCATCCCCAGGTCGGCTGTCCGCCGAAGAATGTCAAGCTCTAACGGCGTCAGGTCCTCGAGCGTACAGAACTCCGCCATGATCGAAGCTCGAATGACAAAGAAGTTCGGCCGGTGCGGCTACCTCGGGATCGCTGCGCGACGGAACGTCGTTCAACGCCATTGGCCCGAGATCGTTTTGATATGCGTGCGATGACCAATGAGAGTGGTTTCGTTTTCGGGTGGATCCGAGGTTTGGCGGTCTTCATTTACACTTTTATTAAAGAAATAATCACCGTATGACTATATTTTTTGGTTTTAGGGATACTTAGGGTGTCTTAATTCAGTTGTCACCATCAAAACACGAACTCAAAAACCACTTGAGTGCCCCTTAAAGCACCCACCCTAATTTCCTATCGAAGCCCAACTCAATGATCCCTTCCAGTATGCAGCAACCACTCCGAAACTCCCTCATAGTTACGGTCCATCCCTCCCTACCCAGACTCGGCAAACTAATTATGGAGACCACTTTCCACCTCGTAGACTCTACAGTTATTTCTAAAGCACCCACCCTAACTTCCTATCGAAGCCCAACTTAACGATCCCTTCCAGTATGCAGCAACCACTCCGAAACCCCCTCATAGTTACGGTCCATCCCTCCATACCCAGGCTCGGCAAACTAATCATGGAGACCACTTTCCACCTCGTAGACTCTACAGTAATTTCTAAAGCACCTACCCTAACTTCCTATCGAAGCCCAACTTAACGATCCCGTCCAGTATGCAGCAACCACTCCGAAACCCCCTCATAGTTACGGTCCATCCCTCCATACCCAGGCTCGGCAAACTAATTATGGAGTCCACTTTCCACCTCGTAGACTCTACAGTTATTTCTAAAGCACCCGCCCTAACTTCTTATCGACAGCCCAGCTTACGATCCTTTCCAGTACGCAGCAACCAGTCCACAATGCCTCAGACTTTGCTCCCTGGTACCACGCCGTGCGGCACTCCGACATGTCTTGCGTGCAGACACACCGGCCCTCCTCCCAACCTGCCAATGAGAATTCCTCCGGCCCTTCAAAATTGTCACAAATATTAAATAATTCTGCTCTCCACCTAGTGAAGGCACATCTGAGATATCATAATAACCACTGTGCCCAGTTACGCCAAAAGCTCACCGTCGCTAAGACTCCTCAAGTCCCTTAACTCATCTTTCCATTCTCACTCATGCAAACTTGTTGACAAAATTCTGGAAGTCAACTCGTATCTCTATACCGATGGTCTCACCTGTAAATCAAGGGAACTAGACACTCTCTTGCCCCGAAATGATGAGGCTGCCGTCCAACGCAATGATGATGTCACCATACGAGACAATGTACCCCTCACTGCCCCTGAACACGTTATCTTATCGAAGGGCCTGTCCTTCGTCCCTGCACTTCAAAGCCGACCTTACCCTTTTTTTGTTGTTACATGTGGACAGCGAACAATTCTTCCGATGCCTACTTTTAGATGCCCACTTCACCCAGCATCCGTCTAACTTTAACCGCACCATGTTCGACACAGTTAAGTATTTAAGAGTCCTGCTTATTAATTAACGTGTTTTCTTTTGGTTAGGAAAGTTTATCTCTCCAGAGTTGCGTCGGCATTGTGTTTTTTTAGCTTTCTACGTTTGGGTCGGCGGGGCCAGAGCGGCCGCGACGCGGGAGCGGTCCCCCCGCGGTCGTTAAGGGGCGTCTCGGGTTTCGGGGGTCTGCTCGGACCGGGACCGAAAGAGCCCGCGCTGGAAGATGCTTGTGGCTTATAGCCGAATGTGCGTGTATGCAGAGGGTTTTGCCGCTTTGTATAAAATTGTCGCTTTTTGCCCGATGCAATAACTTAGCGGTTGGCGCCAGTCAGGCTGGGAAAATTGCAGAGAACAACTCTACGAGGAATTTAGGTTTGACCGTTAGGGCGCCAGGATGACAGCTCGCCGACCATTGGAGAACAGTGTACCACGTGTGAGTGGCGGAGTTTGAAGAGATTGGTCGGTTCCTGAGGGGAAAGGAGGCCCCTACGGACATACAAAAAGAGCGCGGAGAGGATTTTGAGGGATTCGGACTTTGGATTTGATGGAGAGAAATTGGGGACGGGGGTCGAGACTTTAGACGAGGCAGGATGGTTTCCCAAGTTGGGACTTGTAACTAGAGTGTAAATAAATGCACATAGTTCTATTCAAGCAGTGAGTCGACCCGTCACTCAGCGACGTTCGTGCCACCACGCTCCAGACCATCGAAGCGGAACCTGCCTCCCACACCACCGGGAGGACTTTAACTGGCGCAGTCGACAGGATGGTGGCGCGATTTCCGGTGAGACGATGTGGCGGCGACCTGCGGGCAAGTACGTGAGCTTCGGCTCAACGGCGGACGAGGCAACATCCACGTGAGAAGCCTCGTGGGCTCCGGCCGGAAGTGACCAGGACGACATCCCCGTGAGAGGTCTTGGGGGTTTCGACCCGACGTCAACGGTGGACGAGGCAACATCCACGTGAGAAGCCTCGTGGGCTCCGGCCCGAAGTGACCCGGACGACATCTACGTGAGAGGTCTTGAGGGTTTCGACCCGACGTCAACGGTGGACGAGGCAACATCCACGTGAGAAGCCTCGTGGGCTCCGGCCCGAAGTGACCAGGACGACATCCCCGTGAGAGGTCTTGGCGGGTTTTGACCCGAAGTGGACGAGGCGACATCCCTGTGAGAGGCCTCGTGGGTTTCGAACCGAAGAGAACAAGGCGACATCCTCGTGAGAGGCCTTGTGGGTTTCGACCCAAAGGGGACGAGGCGACATCCCTGTGAGAGGCCTCGTGGGTTTCGACCCGAAGAGAAGGAGCGAACGGAGCAACATCTACGCGAGAAGCTTCGTGTGCGGCGGTCCAAAGTGCAGCGACGACGCAGCATCGTCTACGTGAGGGGTTGCGTGGTGTTGCGACCCGAAGAACAGACCAGCCGGGCCCGAACCCAAGACCAACTTCGGCGGGTGACGTCCAGCGACACCGGAGAGTCTACGCCTCAGGAGCAGCGCACTGACACAGGTGGGACTCATTTCTGTTTCCTCCGGGTTTCGCATGTCAGTGGTGACTCGGTCGATGACCAAAGGAGCTCAGGAAGCGATGAGTGAGAGCGGCGGTAAGAGCCCGGCCATGCTGGACGACGTGTCGGAGGGTGGAGGGAGTAAGAGCGAGAACGAGCTGAAGCTAAAAATTGTAGCTCTAAAACTGGAACTCCAGATCGCACAAATTAAAGCGAAGCAGGCAGAGGAGAAGTCGTGTCGCGACGGAAAAGACGAGGCCGAGAGAAGCCAGATGTCGAAATACGCAAAGGAGCTGCGCGCAGTGTTAGCTCAGATGCCAGAGGCCGAGTCCATGGTCCCAGGGTGGTTCAAAAACGTAGACACGCTGTTCGCGTCAATGAGCATACCAGCGGAAGTACAGGGGGCGATCATGCTTCCGTTTCTAACGGAAAGAATGAGGGCTTTCAGCACGAATCAGTCAGACGGACGAATAATGCCGTACCCAGAATTGAAAGACAAAATTCTTAGGGAGCTTAAGATGACCGCCAACGAATACCGGATGTTATTCCTCACATCTCCAAAAACGGACGGCGAGTCGTGGGCACAATTTTCCACGAAACTGGAGACATTTTTTTTTTGTACTATCTGAACAGTCGCGAGATTCAGACTCTGGATCAGCTGAAGCACCTCATGGTGTCAGATAGGTTGAAGCAAGTCATGCCAGACGAGGTGAGAACCTACGTTCTCCAAAATGAGACGAAAGGGTGGCTTAGGCCAAAAGAGGTGGTTGAGCTGGCAGAGAACTTTGACGAAAGCCGTCGTGGGAGAAAGCCTCAAGGCAGGGAGAAAGCTTCGGACAGCGCACCCGTTCGAGGGCGAGATGGACAGTCGTAGGAGACTGTGCTGACGACGACTGGCGGTGAGGGACGCGGCGCTGACCGAACGAGGGCGATTCGTTGTTTTGGCTGCGGTCGAATGGGACATATCCAGAGAAACTGTCACCAACCACGAAGGCAAGCAGACGAAGGTCAGGGGAACCAAAACAAACATGACCCACGAAAATTGGTAGCCCAGGTGGCGTCTGTGCCAACGGAAACAGCAAAAGCATGCGTCAAAAGGGCCGGTATGAGCCTCAGGTGGGTGGATCTCGTAGTGGCAGACAGACCTCTGAAAGCCTGCCTAGATTCCGGGACAGAGATTACGGTGTTGAGATTGGAAACGGTTCCTGCAGCGTGCTTAGAACAGCGTAGAGGAACAATCAAGTTGAAAGGAGCGTTCGGAAAGGTGGTAACCGCCGATTTGGCATACGTGCCGCTGAGTTTAGTAGTGGAGGGCGAAAGTACGGGCCAGCAAGTCCTCACACTGTGTGCGATCACCGACGAGCTGTCGGACAGTTTGGGAGCGTTGCTTACGCCAGAGGTGTACAGAGAACTAATGCAAGTTCGATCGGTTCCCGAGAGGGAGGCGGTAAAAATTCAAGTGACGGAAAATGAGATAGACCAGGAATTCCGACACACTCCTGAGGACACGCTGGGGGACGAGGTGCTCGAGTGCGAAACCGCGGAGAACGGAGAAAAGACAGACGCGGACGGCGATGACCACGGCGACATCGAGGTCGAGCCGGCGGTCCAGACAGGTAGGGGGCACCCAAAGCCCACCGGAAAAATGGACGACGCCGACGGGTTGCCCGAAATCTTGAATGAGCGGCAGAAGCTTGAAAATCCGGAAGAAGACCGCGAGGACAACGCGTATGGCGAGGACCGCGGCGGCCGCAAGGCGAAGCACGTTCAGAGGAGAGCTGGCGCCGACGAGGCAGATGCACCTGCCGGTGATCCGATGACGCAAGGAGGCGAAAGCGAGAGCGGGAGCGATGGTGACGGCGGCGACGAGGGGACGAACCCGGTTGGCGACATCGAGCGCCGGGATCCAGGGAACCCCGGCGCACCGGTCACCGCAGCTCTGGGGATGCAGGGGCCGTCCCAGGCTGGAACGGAGCAGCCGCGCAAGAGGCGGATCGACAGGTCGGGGTCGGCGGTCGAGGGGTGCTCCGGGTCCGACCCTGCATCGGCTCCGGGTTACGACGCAGACGGCCACGGTGAGAACCTGGACGACGGCGAGGTGACGGCGGAAAGGGTCGTGATCCCTCCGATCCAGGCGTCGAGACGGAGGCTCCGACTGCGGAGAGGCACCGATTTCGGGACCGCGGCCATGTCGTCGCCGAAGGTCAAGACGGCGGTGCATCGCAGGGCGACTCCCGGGAAGAAGGTTGAGTCGAGCTACTACAGAAGGGGGAGTCTGGACGCAAGGGGCTGCGGGAACGGCAGGCGCGAAATGTACGCAAGGGAGAGGAGGAGGCCACACCGTTCAGTGCCCAGAGCTTGCACGCGTGAACAGCAGACTTCGGGCTTGAGCTCGGGATCGGCGAGTGCCGCGGAAGCGACTGACTGCGCGCCGGCCAAGGCAGTCCTCAGAACGTCTTCAACGGCGACGAGGTGGACGACAAAACGGACACGATTAGGGGGGTAGCTAGCCAGGGCCCAGGCTACTAGATTTTTATTTCGACCTTAGCCTACTTTTATTTCACTGCCCTCCTGATTCATGTTTATTTTGCTCTTCGGTTGGCCCCTCGATATTATATATACTACGAAATATATACTTTTTGTGTTCGGTTTATATTCTCTGCGGGAGAAATTTGAGTGTACACACGTAATTGAAACGTGTTTTGTAGCATGTCGAGGCTAAATAGACATGATTAGGGCGTGGTCATTCTGCCACAGTTTTGAGAGCTCCCACCACTGATTTTGCTGGACCCTGGAATGTACTATCGGGGAAAAATGAAATGCGAACAGAGGAGCGCGTGGCTCGCAGTACATGGTGCGCCGCCTGGAAGTGAGCCTAGGAGCGAGGGTGCGTGGCCTACTGCGACGTGTTCACGCCCCTCCCTCTGCGTTCCCCAAGCTTCAGCAGTGCGCCTCTTAGTGCGCTGAGAGCTATCACCGCTATCTTTGCTGGCTCAGCGCGTGCGGTGCAAAAAAGCTCGCCACACTCGCCGAGCAGGCAAAGATAGCGGTGACAGCTTTCAGCGCACCGAGAGGCGCACTGCCGAATCTGGGGGAGCGCCAATCAAAAGGCGTGAACACATCGAAGTAGGCCACGCACCCTCGCCCCTAGGTTCACTTCCAGGCGGCGCAGCCTGTACCGCGAGCCACGCGCTCCTCTGTTCGCATTTCATTTTTCCCCGATAGTACAGGAGTAGGTCCAACTTGTGTGTGATCGTGGGTGGCAGTTTGACTTTGAACATGAGAGCTATCACGGAAATCTTTATTTTGTGTGCCCAGTCTGGTGTGTGTTGGACGTTTTGCCTGCGGCAGCCGTTTTAGTGTTTCTGGTTTTGAAATTGTAATCATTTCCTTGTTTTTTTATCGGTGCCGTTTGATTTTGTTACATTTACGGATGAGCAGTTGGTGAACTTCTAGAACGTGATGTTGACGTTGTTGCTTTTGGTTAAC